ATTATGGGGAAGGTGATTTATTTAATGACGTGCAGGATTTGGGAGCAAGAATAAGTAGAAGGTAATTGACATGACATGATGAGACTACTGAGAAAAATACGATTGTCGCGACAACTCGGATGGTATTCCTAGGCAGAAAAGATAAAATAATATATTTTTAGTAAGAGCCGGCTGCATTGTCTATGTGTGATTTTTGCAATCAACCATAAAGAAGGGGCCCATTACAACTTATGCACCATCTTTCACATAAAAGGAATGAATTTAGGGTACTAGGGTAGTTTTAATGCAAAACCTAGGTTCATTCTCTCCCTATAAATAGAAGATGAATCCACAATGAAAAAAAGACTTTGAAACTTTTAGACAACCGCTAAGAGCCTAAAAATTCGGAGAAAATGATCTCTTTTTTTTTTGTCAATCATTTTTTCCATGGCATTCCTCCATTGACAAGCTAGAGGGAGTGGTGAACTAGGCATCTGAGAGGAGCTAGATTGCTGGGACAGTTCATGGAGGCCAAAGGAAGCTCCGTAGTGCACGTCGAAGGCGTTTCCTCTTTCCCTTTGCTCTTTGATTTCATATTTTATCTTTTGGGTTGTAAGGAACGATTTAACTTACTTTTTGCTTGCTTATTTCGAACCCCACCATGAACTAATCCTATTTGGTGGGAGTTTATTTTGGATATTTAAGATTTGCTTCAAGGAATGGTTATTTTTCTATGTTGTTATCTGCTTTGCTTATGAAGTTTAATGCCTTAAGGTTTTAGGAGCTATGAGAGTAGTCATTCCTTAGGTGATTACTTAGTGTTCGAGAGAATGTCTAAGTAGCACATCCTTAGTACTCGAGAGAAACTAGGGAGGAACCACATAAGCCAGGGGTTCTAGATAGTAACTAGGCCTAATCCACCTTAGAGATAAGGCTAGGATTTCATTCGACTAAAAGGAGTTGTGCATGAGCGATAGGTTAGATGTTAATGATGCCGTAAAAAGGTATTGCCAAGACATATTATGTTATCTGGACCAATAGGATCCCTGCAGTAGCTAACACCAACCGGTTTTGCCAATGCATCTTTAATCTGTCGAGTCCCTTAACTAGAGATAGCATAGGGCACCCTTAGTAAACTTTGTCGGGCAGATAAGGCATAGAAGTAAGACCATTCTGAGAAGTAGACTTAGATTTTCCTAAGTGACTCCTATCACTCATTCCCATAGTAGCTTGTCGTGTGAGGAGTCTAAAGTCCTTATAAGAAAATCCAGTATTTACAGTTTATTTTGCCTTTACATTTGTTTGCACTTAGCACAATTCAATTTTCCATAACATCTCAATTTACTACCATATTACCATCAGACAATTTCCACAACATCCATTCATTTTGCCACAGCATTTTCATTTGCAAATAACATCACTAACTTTACTTAGGTAACATAGTAAAGTGCTTTGATTGAACTTATCAATTTCCTCCAATCCCCGTGGAGACGATACTCGCTCATCACTGTATTACTTGTTCGAGTGTGTATACTTGCACATATTTCCGCACCATATTTAGTACTCACAAATAGCGGACGCCTTCTCTCTTGATTCTTTCTTAATTCTTTGTAATTCTTGATGGTCAATGGCTTCAGAATTTGTTTATATACACCTTGGATTGATTCTGAACATTGGGGATTATTGGTGAAGTCAATATAGCCGTTATGGTGTGAATACCATTTAAAAAACCTGTTGGGAGCGTAGGGGTATTGGTACATCTTCAAAGGGTATCGGTACACCTAGTGTAAAATTCAAATATTTTCACCGTTATTTGACCGAGTGTATCGTACACCCTAGGGGTATCGACACACTAATTACATTCGATGTTTCTCAGAGCCAATTAATATAAGAGGGGTATCGGTACAGTCGGCTGTGTATCGGTACCCTTATTACATTCAAAATTTAGGGGTATCGATACACCTAGGAGTGTATCGGTACACCCCTACTTAAAATTCATTTTTGGCTCGATTAAGGTTCAAAATACTTTGTAAAATTGTTTCAAAAATATTTTAAGATTAAAACACAATTTTACACTTAAGTAAGGATTAAAACTGACATTTGAAAACTTGGAGTAATGTTTTTGATATTTGAATAATTTAATTGAATATTATTTTTGAAATCGAATATAAAATATTAAAATTCATTTATACTTTATTTGTTATATCGTAACATCAAAATGTTTTCAACAGTCTATTTTCATTCTTACCATAATTTTTGAAATTTTGTCAATCATGTCACCCAAATATTTAAATGCATCCATTCAAGCCACTTGTCGCTAACATTTAGTGGAAGAGTGACGTGACAGTTAATAAAATTAATATAATTACACATTTAATCTTTATTCCTTACACAATCTATCAAATTGGTAATAATTTTATTTAATTCAACATATCTAATCCTCTAATCATATGACGACATGTGTCATGACATCATTGGAGGGATTTTTTAATTTAATTTTTATTTAATTTTAATATTTTTCCAAATTTACTGCACCAACATTAATTCTTAATATAATATTTACAATATTTGTTACTTATCTTATACTATAATGAAGGCTAGAAAAATAAAAACAAAAGTAACAATAAAATAACTCGAACTTTGGTATATTACTAAGGATAGACACGATGCAGGGCATATCATTTCTTTAACCGTCTCGTCCCTAACCCGAAAATATATTATTTATACCCAATCCAGTCCAGTTTGATCCAATTCCAATATATTAATATTTTAAAATAGTTAAAATAATATTTTTACCTTAAACCTGGCCCGATTCAAATATATATAAAAAGATAAACTAATAATTTATATCGGATTGGATTTGGTCAATAATTTTTCACCTTAAACCCGTCCCTATCCCGCCCTGAAGCTATCTATTATTGACGACCCCAGACCCAAATTTCAACAATAAAAAATCGACCCTATTAGTTTGGGTCGGGGCAAAATCCGTCGGCTTCATATTAAATTGTCATCCTTAGGTATTTTTTTTTTGAAATTTTGGGTTTGGGGCGGGGTGGAGCGGGTTATATGATAGATAACTTTGGGCAGGATAGGGTCGGGTTTAAGGTGAAAAATCACCGACCCGACCCAACCTGGTAAAAATTATTAGTTTACTCATTTATATATATATTCGAATCAGGTTAGGTTTAAGGTAAAATATATAAATATAACCATTTAAAATATTTTAAATGATTATCGATATATTACTTTACCTATTTTAAAATATTAATATATTTGAATTGAGTCTGAGAGGGATTGGGTATAAATAATATATTTTCAGGTCGGGGTGGGAAAATATTAATATATTATTTTAGCAACACGAATTTCATTTTAGCAATATAAATTATGAATTATCAACGCGAAAATTCGCAACGCGAATCCTGCTATGTACAGAGATTTCAGAAGTTATCCAAAAGGGACAAAGAAAAACATGAGAAGAGTTTACCACTTTTGTAAGGTTAGTGACCTTCCCATTTTGATTGTCCCAAAAAACCAGACTGTATGGACTCCATGGGCGGGGTGCTTCCATGGCTGCCTCACCTTTAACCTTCAGCTTAAGATAAAACAAAATTTTTTACCACTTTTGTTCATCATAACATCAACTATTTCTTCCTTAATTCCATTAGTATTGTAATAAAAAGAATCTCTTTCTTTGCTCAGACTCAAAGCTTAATTGTTTCCTCAGTTTTCCAGTTTTCTTTGGTTGTCATTTTCCTACTCAAACCGCCTTTTAAGATTTTCCAAGTCTAACATATAATACCCATTCCTTCAAGTTTTATGATTATTCTCTCTCTCTTTTGTCTTCTCTTCTCTTTCTCATTGAAAGCTAAGCTCTCTTCCATACTCTTCTTATGTTTTGCTTTATCCCTTTTGGATAACTTCTGAAATCTCCGTTCATAGCAAGATTCGAGTTGCGAATTCGAAAATCGAGTTGCGAAAATGAAACTCGTGTTTCGAATTTAAAAATCGAGTTGCGAAAAAGAAATTCGTGTTGCAAAAATGTCAAATTCGAGTTGCGAATTCGACTTATGTGTTGCGAATTCCAAATTCGAATTGCGAATTCGGAAACTGTTTTGCGAAATTGGCTTTCGTGTTGCGAATTCGAAACTGAGTTGCGAATTTGTTGGTTATTTTTGCAAATCCAAAAAAGTTGGTTAAAATCGTATATTATAAGACATTTTGTGCCACTCAAGTTATTTTCTCTTACATATATTGAATTAAATAAAATTATTATTGTGTAAGGAATAATGGCTAAATGTGTAATTATACTAATTTTATTAACTGTCATGTCAACTCTTCCATTAAATGTTAACGACAAATGACTTGATTGAATGCATTTAAATAGTTGGGTGACCTAATTTCAAAAATTTCAAAAATGATGATAAGAATGAAAAGAGACAATAGTTAGGTGGTCAATAGTATAATCTACCCAAAAAATTTATGAAAAATAATATAATTAATAATTTATTTTAGATAATTTACGTTTAGATTTTTTAATTAATTTATAATCATATGTTGATTCTTTTATGATTTTAAATTTTTATAAATTAAATTAATAGTGCTCAAGGAACAACAGTTGAAACAGCTTAGAGCCCAGTGCCTTGTTTTTTTAGCTTTCAGATATGTACCGAACTCTTGCAATATATGCTAGAATGCTACCTCTCTAATGGGGGTATAAGTGGTAAGAATCTTTTCATACTCTGTTGTTTTTCTTTTTTGTCTATAATTTGTGTTTTCTACTTGCAGAAATTGCTTGATGCCAAAGAAGTTGCATCTTGAAATTGCACTTGGAAACTTATTTCCCCAAGAAGGTTGCTTTAATCATTTAAATTTGTTTTGCAAATTTCATTTTCAGAAGTCTATGTCATTTACTTGGTAATCATCGGATGGCAATACGGACGACCCTCTCAAAGAATTGAATGACCATAGAGGGAAATCACAAACTTCCAATGAGCCGGGTAACATATCTGAAGCTGCAATGCCATTTGGAAGGATTAATAATGCACCGTCAGGTTCTACATCTACTGGAAGAGGCTGATTCATTGTCAAAAGAAGCAGAAGCATTAAGAGTGGAGGAGAGTAATGGCCCATCTTTTTATCTTTCAGCAATTGTGGACGAAAGGAAACATATTCTAGCTAGAAGGAAGGCAGAGGCTGCAATTCAGAGCCATGAGACAGTGGAACCACAGGTGTATTTGACTAGAGTGCCTGACTCTGCTACTTTATGGGTGGCTTTACTTTTAGTAAATCTGTGGATGACATGGATAATTGCCATCTGCAAATTGGAAAGCCTGATCTAATTTCTTCTGTGATGGTTCCTAATTAGCAGGTGAACCCTGAAATGATGGGCTGGTCTGGAATTGGCGGTCATGATGAGGTTTTCACTTCGAGGGCATCTTTGCCAGCTGCTACAATCCAGCATGATTTGATGCTAGAGAGAAAAGATCCCGATTCTCAGTTTCAAAGTTCTGGTAAAGTTACTGAATCAATTTGTTCCCCCCCCCCCCTTATGGTCACTTAACTTCTTATCGGTTAACTTAGTTGGAACTAGAATGACCATCCCTAAGCCTTTTAGATCAAATGAAATGAATTTTTGGGATGTGGTGATTCTGGTGCAGAGGATCCGAAGTCCAAACTAGGTACAAAGTTCATTCTATTAATCATATGCTAAGAAATGATTTCTGTTTACACAGAGCAAGACGAGGAAGATAACTCTGTATCTACTGATCCTTTACCTTCTCCAAAGCACACTATGTCAGAGAAATGGATTATGGATCTGAAAAAACGGAAGCTATTAGCTGAGCAGAAGTGGGTTCTAAAACGGTAAAAGACAAATCAAAAAATTCAAACTTGTTTCACCCAGCTAAAGGTTTGTTAAAAACTTTATTCTGAAGTTCTTAATTCCTGGTTTAACCTTGTTTTCCCTTCTGATTTGTCTGTAAAGCCATGCTGCAACATTGTTAAGGATACAACTATTATTTGCTCTAATATTTGTGCGCTTCTATTGAAAAGAAAAGGAAATGTGTCCCCTGCTATCAACAAATTTTGTATGAAAAACAGAAGTGGAAGAAAGGTTGTAAAATCAATGAATCTATTGAAAAGAAAAGGAAATGTGTCCCCTGCTATCAACAAATTTTGTATGAAAAACAGAAGTGGAAGAAAGGTTGTAAAATCAATGAAAAAATGAGTGAGTTTGGAGTAGAAAGCTGAAGTTTAATGGGAAAGACCACCAGATACGTTCTATTGTGCTAATAAAACAACTATCCACTTCTAATTTGTTTGCATTTTCTCGCTAACAAAAAAAAGTTTTGTAGATTTCGTTCTTTTTCAAGTATATTTATTTTTTGTGAAAAGCAAGTGAACCATTTTATATTTAGCTTTAGAATTTGGAGTGATGCTGCATCATAGACTGTGATCAAGATTGAAAGGAATTCATCCCTAAAATTCGGTAAAGCCCTCTTATTGTGTAGAAATGGGCGTTTTTAGTAATTAAGCTTGCAATCTTGAGTAAGCAGCTAACTTGGCGGTATAATAACATGTTGGTAAATAAGCCAAATGAGGGCTTTACCCATATTGAGAGGTTTTTCTTTATTACTCGTTGTGAGTCACCCCTCCTTACCCCCAAAATTTATGCAGTTAGTAACTAGTTTTTTTTTATGTATTTCCTGATACCGAATATTTTTGTTAAATTTTATTTATATTCTACCTGTCCAACATATTAGTTGGAACTTATTCCTGTTTAAGAACAAAGTGGTTTTTTCCGTCTTTTACATAACTTCTATCAGCTCCAATCGCATGCGGAGGTAATTTATATGTAAATTTTTTCCCCTTAGGTGGCTTTTGGGAACTTAGATTTCAAAGATGGTGTTAATTGAGTAATAAAATATTTAGAAATGTAACATTGATGATTATTTCTCAAATCATTGGATTTTTGGATTAGATAAATCCAAATTTGTATACTTTTTATCTATATATTATATTGAATCTTGACTATTTATCCATAATATATGAATTTCATTCTTATCATTTACGTAGCAAATGAAATCCAAATCCAAAATTTCAAATTCTTGTTCCCAAACGGAGCATTAAGTTATTATCTTTTTATTTCTTATCTTGTTTTATTGTTGCACGTTGTAGCTTTGGCTGTTTCTTTGATTTTGTTTTGATTTCTCATGACATTTTCTTCTTAAATTTTGACAGTGATTTCCTGAAGGATTTTTTTTCAAACCAATTACAAATGATATGGAACGCCATGGTAGAAGGATAAAACAACTCGAAAAATATGAGCAGAAAATGAAAGAAGAGCGACAAAAGAGAATTCGTGAGAGGCAGAAGGAATTTTTCAGTGAGATAGGAGTTCACAAGTACTTACTGATTTTCTTTCTTACCAATAAATGCCCAAGTCTTCACTGGTTGCTTTGCATAAATCTACATCCTTTCTAACTTCTTGGTAAATTGAAACCCAGGGAAAGGCTGGATGATGTGTTTAAAATTAGGAGAGAACAATGGAAGGCTTCAATAGAAATTTAAAGGAGTTCCATAAAAGAAAGGAGCGTATACATCGGGAGAAGATTGACAGAATTCAGCGTGAGAAGATTAACTTGCTCAAAATCAATGATGTGGAGGGTTATTTGCGAATGGTTCAGGTAATCTTAGGTTTACACCCTCTAGTAGTGTTTCATCTTACATGTTCTTATGAATACTATTCTTGATATTTACAGGATGCTAAATCAGATCGTGTTAAACAACTACTGAAAGAAACTGAGAAATATCTTCAGAAACTTGGATCCAAGTTACAGGATGCAAAGGCTATCGGAGGTCGTTTTGGGAATGATATGGATGAGATGAGAATTGCAAGTGTTTTTGAAAATGATACTACTGTTGAGAATGAAGATGAGGCAAAGGCAAGTTTTTTCTTGTGCATTTTTTTGGAGTTTCTAATCGTCTTTCCTTTCTCACAAGCTTTCGCTCATCCTTTACTTTAATGTTGACTTTTTCTTGTCATCAATCTGATCTGCGGCATTATTTGGAAAGCAATGAAAAGTACTACCTGATGGCTCATAGGTAACGATTTTTCTTTTTTTTTCCTGCTTGATTTTTTAATTGAACTTTGGATGTCTTGGGGTTGTTTTAATTCCGAATTCTTTTCTCAATTAGTATTGAATATTTTTTTATAGGAATTGAAGGTCTCGTTAAAAACCTCCTTCATGATTAAAAGAGCTTATAGATAAACTCCTTAATCAGCGGGAGAAAGAAAAGAGTGCCTTAAGATTTCACTAATCGTTAGAAAATACAAGATACAACCTGAGAGCCACCCCCAATATAAACATAATACCAAAAGAAAATGCAAACAACCCTAAACAACATAGACACAGCCTAATCCATCTTAGCAAAGACATTAGCCTAAAAAACAGACTTTGACTATACTGAAAACCTAAACGTGGCCTGAAAGACGCCACAAAAGAAACAACGATAATAGAAGATAGAATCCAAGTTCTAGCACAAAAGCCAAAAGCTTCCACATGAAAAGAATACAAAACAAAAGCACATAACCGCCTGTCTGCCACTTTAAACTAGTCTTGACAACAGAGACTGTAGTAACCAATTTGTCCATACTGCTACACAGTACCCCATGCTGCCCATGCTCTGCTTTTCTAGCCCATACCCTGTTGTTTTTGCACTAGCACTCCACTAATGCAACACTAACTCTATCATGCTGCAACACAATACAACAATAATAAAGGCCAAATAAACCAACTGACACAATCCATAGTAGCCAAAAACACACACCAAAGCCACGAGCTTCCACACTATAACAGTTGAACAAAACAAACTTTGAAAAAACTGTAATCGCCCTTTTGCCACTAACTGCTCAACTACACATCGAAGACCCTCCGAACCTCCAACTCCATAAACATAAATCATAATCTAGTCCCCTAAAAACTATTCAGAACTTAATGATTCTGTCAATACATCCAGTGATATAATGTTTCGTAATAAAAACCACTTGTGAGCCATCAGACTCTAAACCCAAATCATTCTTGTTCTTTAAGGAATCTGCCGCTTTCTTCTTTTGAGTCCACCACTTTGCTCGAAAATCAAAATCATATAAGGATCTACCTTCAAGTTCGGGCCATTCTTCGTCTCGTTGCACCTTACTCTGGTATTTCTTGCTACGGCAGTCTCGGAGAGAGCTGAAATTTTTTTCCCCTTCTTTGCTCTCCGGTTCTGCCTTGGCTCACCCTTTGAATTTTTGAATGCACAATAATTTGTGAGGCCCACATTATTCACATCCTCCACCACCTTTGACTTTACCCGACCATCCATCATGGGGAAATCTATAAAATAAGCCTTTTTTTATAGGAATAGGAGGTCTCGTTAAAAACCTCCCTCATCGTTGCCTCTTAAAAGAGACAACTAACTGAAGGAGGAAAAGAGTATCTCAGTTTTATTAATACCCCGAAATTACATAAGATACACTTTACACTATAAAACACCTAACAAGACATAACATAACATCAGTACACCAATAAACGTTCAACCAATCCCCTCCTTAGCTAGCTTATCCGCCTCCCAATTACAACTCCTAGGGATCCATCTAACCATAATGTCCTTAGAAAAAACTAGGGCACCAATTTCCCCAACCAGAGATCTGAAAAAAGAAGGGGCAGAAACAGGCCGTAAAATCCATTCCACTACCGTTGAACAATCACTCTCTAACACTAATCTTCCTTTCTCCGCCCATTGGGAGTAAAAAAAAAAATCAATTCCCTCTTTAATAGCTTTCAACTCGACAAACATCGGCGGACCAAGTCCCACAACAATAGAAAAGGAGATAAGATTAGAGCCATTCGAGTCTTTCAAAATACCTCATATTCCTCCTTGTAGACCATCAGACCTTACCGCCCCATCCATATTAAACTTAAAAAAGTCAGGTGGAGAAGGATACCAGCACATATCCTTCTTCATCTTTGGAGGGAAATTACAATACTATCAGCAAGCCTTGGATCCCCTACCAAAATATCGACCTGAATATTTGCCTTTGGATATTTTGCTAAAAACCAATTCGCCAGCCTGAATCTGGAAATGAAGAACAGTAAAGCCATGTCAATTTTACCATTTTCGAACACCACAGAATTTCTAGCTTTCCATATAGACCAGTAAACAACACCGGGGATAAACTTCCAAATAGAAGAAGATGCCATAAGATGAGACCAAGAACAAAGTAAGGACTGAGGATCGTTAGGCAGAACTGTAACTACATCCCATAATCTTAAGAACCTATTTCACAACTCCCCTACAACCGAACACAAGATAAAAAGATGTTGAGTTGTTTTTTCATCCTTAAGACATAAAGGGCAAAAGACATTTTCCAATGGCAACCCTCATTTTTTCAGCTCCACTCTAACAACCACTTTAAGGTGAGATAGCTGCCATAAAAAGGTTTGAACTCTGGGAGGAACCAAACCAGACCACACCCATTTGCTCCACTGAAAATTCCCGCTGTATCTGCCAGAAATAGACAATTTGCAGGCCTTAAGCGAGAACAAACCATCACCTTTTCCAGACCATGCCAAAAAATCATCAACTGAATCAATCAAACCAATAATATCAATCAATAACATCAAAGAAATACACTGATCTAGTTCCCAGTCACATAAATTGCTCTTTAATTGAATGTTCCAAACCCATCCACTATATTCAAAACAACCAGATTCAGCAACTTTCCCCCCTTTATTAATAGAGAGAGCAAAGATCCTTAGGAATTGAACTTTTAGAGTTGAATTATTAACCCAGACATCATTCCAAAAAGAAATAGATCTACCATTCCCCACTTGCATCTTCGAATTTAACCTCAAACAATCTTGAACATCATCATTCTTCTCATAGTTATTCCTAATTCCTTTCCAAATCCAAGAATCATGAGAAGAAACTACCGTACTTATGGATAGAGATAAGTTGTTGCTATTGTGTTTGCAGCAAAGCAAATTCTTCCATAGAGAATCCTTCTCATTAGCAAACTTCCAAACCCACTTCCCAAGTAGCACACGATTGATCAAATTCAAGTCCAAAACACCCAAACCCCCTCAAACGGTTGACACACCAAATTCCAATTAACACAATGAATCTGATTTCTTGTTGGACCTTCCCCCCAAAGGAATCTAGCCATTATATAATTCAACTTTTGATTTACCTTAGGAGGAATTTTGAAAATGGACATGAAAAAAATCAGCAATGAAGACAACACCGATTTCACTAACACCATTCTCCCGGCCAACGATAATGTTGTAGCTTTCCAACTTGCTAATTTGGTAGAAAACTTCCGGATCACCGGCTCCCACAGCAGCTCAGAATTCTTGGTTGTACCAATCGGTAACCAAGATATGTCATAGGTAAAACACCCACCCCACAACCTATCATAGAAGCCCATTCTTTTAAAAGATCCTCTTCCAAATGAACACCATACAACTTACTCTTGGATAAGTTAAGATTTAGCCCTGACATTAGACTAAAGATCCTCAACACTCTCCTAATATTTAGAATCTGAGTAGGAGAATCCCTGTAAAAAATAATTAAGTCGTCTGCAAATTGCAAATGGGTCAGAATGAAGAGATTATCCTCCCTACCAATCCTAAACCCTTCGAACAGTCCACTGTCAGTAGCCTTAACAAACATAAGGTTCAGTAGTTCCCTGACTATATTAAACAACAAAGGAGACAAACTGCAACCTTGTCTTAACTCTTTGCCCATCATAAATTCCTCAGTAGGAGAGCCATTAACAAGAACCGAAATAGAAGTAGAAGAAATACAAAGTTCAATCCATGAAATCCACTTATCTCCAAAGTCATATCTTTCAATAACCTCAATAAAATCAGCCATTCCACCGAATCATAAGCACGCCGAAAATCGACCTTAAAGACCACGCCTTTCCTCCCCTTTTTTCTCCAATAATCAATAGCTTCATTGGCTAAGAAAGCACATTCGTGCAACTGCCTACCCGGGATAAATGCAAACTGGGAAGGGCTTATAATATCTTTAATAACAGACACAAGCCTTCTAGACAGTACTTTGGAAATAATTTTATACAAACTGCCAACTAGGCTAATTGGTCTATAGTCTTTAATGCCTTCCAGATTTCTGATCTTAGGAATCAGAGCTATAAAAGCATGGTTTACCCCATGCTCCCAATTTCTTCCATTGTAAAAATCTTCAACAATTTCATAATAAAAACCTTCAGGTTTGGCCAGAATTTCTTAAAGAAACCCATCGTGAAACCATCAGGACCTAGCACTTTGGAACTGTCCGATTGAGAAACTGCCTCCCACACTTCTTGCTCAGAAAAATTCCTTTCAAGAACCTTCACTTGCTCGAAATTCAGTTTAGCAAAATTGAGATCAATATCCTCCACCTCAAGAGTAGATTTCGAATAGTAGACAGCCTTGAAATAGTAAAAAATAACACCTCTCAACTGCTCAGGGTCTGAAATAACCTCACCACCCACCCTCAATGCTGAAATGGAATTAATTCTGCTTCTATTAAAGGCACATAGATGGAAAAACTTGGTGTTTCTATCCCCCTCAGTGTTCCACTTCAATCTAGACTTCTGCAACCAAATACTCTCCTCCTTCCTATGCAAATTCCACAATTCCTTCCTCGAAAAATCAAGCAGCTCCCTTTCTTGAGCAGAGATCCCCCCACTCTGAAACTTCAACTCCAGTCCGTTTATCTTAGATTCCAAATCTGAAATTGCTAACGAAAACCCCCTCTGATTAATCCTTGGTCAATTCCTGATAGCCAGCTTAGTTCCTTTAAGAAGAGAGAATAGACCCCTACACCCGATGTCATTCCTCAAATTAGCAATTGAATTTTCAATTACCCCAGCAAACCCCTCATCCTCTAGTAAATAGTTAAAAAAACGAAACGGCTTAGGACCCCAATTAAAACTTTCATCAGCTAACATGACTGGATTATGATCCGAAATGGATTTGGGTAGTATTTTCTGGATCATATTAGGGAGATGATTTAAAAAGGAACAAAAAATCAGAAATCTGTCCAGCCTAACCCAAGTGGGGGACTCTCTAAAATTATACCAAGTGAACCTCCCCCTACTAATGGTAAGTCCATCAGGTTATAAAATTGAACAAAAGATCTAAACAGGACCATGGAATGCCAGTTATATGTGAAACCACATTTCTCATCAAGGACGAGATAAGCATTACCCAAGCAGACATGCACAGTCAAACTACTCACAAAACACATGAACTCCCTGAAAAACTCCTCTTTGTCAGCCTCTACTGATGGACCATACACATTAATGATAACACAATCAAAATTGCTCTTTTTAAAATTCCCTAAAATAGTCAAAAATATTCTCTCCTTATGTTCTGTACTGACCTCAAAAACATCCTCATTCCACAAGCACAACAAGTCACCTGCAGAACCATCAGCTGGAGAGAAACTAATGCCTCGCAGAAAATTAGCCCCAAGCTTTCTCCTCAATCCACTTCGGCAAACATACATTTTAGTTTCTTGTAATAACAAAACTGACGGTTTTTCACTAATAACCAACCTTACCACCGCTTTAATTTTTTTTTTCTTCCCAAGCCCCCTAACATTCCAGGTAATAAAATAATCCTTAATACCCTCAAAAGCCTCTCTCTCCGCATAGTCCAGCACTTCCTCGTGTTGCTCCACTTCCTCACAATTCATTTGTACCATCCCCTGACCAGCAACCACATTCCTCAAACCCATAATTAATTCCTCCCCTATATTCCTATTCTCCTCATCTTCACCCTACAGGTTGCTGCCTCTAAATCTGTTCCCCAAACAACATAAAAGACTATCTTCTTTCTCAAAAAACCGCTCGGAAGTCTTCTCCACCAGTGAGTCCACGCTTCTTCCTGCTTCCTCAGCACACTTCTCCATCGCGGAAGGCAAAACTGGCTAGTCACTAACAAGTTCCCCCACCGTGGATAACGGGTAGGCAAATCCCTTATCCATCAAGGACGAATCTACCCAGACAGATTCTGGGTTGAAACAAGGTTCAAACTCAGAAACATAAACTGTATAGATCCATTCCCCGACTTTCAAATCTAAGTATTCTACCACTCGAGCTTGACATTTCGTAGTTATCTAAAACATTGCCCTATCAAACGAGCCTGGATATAATGTCCCTTCCTCAATGGAGATAAGATCTCCCTATTTGTCTGCAATGTTTTTGAAGGTGGAATGACTCCACACCAATGGTGGGATCCCTATGCACGAAAGCCATGCCCGACGGCTGCTGCATTGGAAATTTTCCGACCACACTTCCACTTTGTCAAAGCAATTTTTTAATGCCCCAATATGATTATTAAGAGCATAATCCCTACTCTATTCATCTTCGAAAATGATTAAAATTGTTAAACCACTTAACCTCATAATTTTTAGACCTAAAATGCCTTCTTTTTGCATAAGAGCAACCAACTCTTTCATTTTTGAAAATTTTCTGCACCGACCTACCAAGCTATTTCTGAGAGTGAAGAGCTTGTCCTCATCAACAACACCGACAATGGGAGCCTCTGAATGCTTATGAGCCTCAGCTAGTTTTGGGCCAGCAAACTTCTTTCTCCAGAAAGCTTCACGAGGTTGAAATCTCGCCATGAAAACTCTAACTATATTACCTTGAATCCTAGATCTATCAACACAGTTGACAACCTTCCTCGCGTCCTCCAATCTGGTGAAACGAACAAAACCAAACCTACTTCCTCCCTTGCTTCTTTTGTTAGGGATGAAAGAATCAACCACTTCACCATATCTATCAAAAAATTGCTAAAGACCTTGATGATGAAGAAACTCTGGAATATTAAAGATGATCACCGTAACACAACTTTTCCCAACAGATCTAATCACCTTACTCGCCATAAGTAATAGTGTATGAGATTTACAAAGAAAGGATTTTTGAAATCGCCTAACCTAGTATTGAATATTTGAATTACTTGTAATAGCTAAAAGTTTCACAGCTAAAACTTATTTTTTTGCAGCATAAAAGAAAACATCAATGAGCAACAAACTCTTCTTAAGGGTGGAAAATTACGAGAGTGAGTACAATATGCACTTTACCAACACATACATACATACATATACATATATATATATACATACATACATATATATATATATATATACATACATACATACATATATATATATATATATATATATATATATATATTTATATATATATATATATATATATATATGGAGAGAGAGGGGGGAAGGTCTGACATAGGGGGTGCAGTGTTCATTCTCTTGCATGATGTTTCTTGAAATTGTACTTTTGATGTGTAGGTACCAGATGAATGGCCTTAGATGGCTGGTTTCACTATACAATAATCATCTTAATGGCCTTGGGAAGACTGTTCAGGTATTGGTGGTTCTGTATCTTCTTTTGTTTGCAGTCTATTTTATAATTTGTTGTAAAATATTTTCATTTATAATGTTATATACTTTGTAGGTTATTTCTCTTATTTGTTACCTAATGGAAACCAAAAATAATAGAGGACCATTTTTAGTGGTTGTACCATCTTCTGTTTTGCCTGGATGGGTGTCGGAAATCAATTTCTGGGCACCTGACTTACACAAAATTGTATATTCTGGTACCCCGGAGGAGAGACGTAGATTATTCAAGTAATGAGATTCAAACCATGAATAAGAACCTTTCTTATCCTATACTTTTTGTTGTTTAAAAAATATGTAAGCCTGATTATTATTTGTTTCTGGTGCAGGGAGATGATTGTACATCAGAAATTTAACATTCTCCTGACAACATATGAGTATCTAATGAACAAGCATGATAGACCAAAACTTAGCAAAATTCACTGGCACTATATTATAATTGATGAAGGTCATCGGATAAAAAATGCTTCTTGCAAGTTGAATGCAGAATTAGAGCACTATCAGAGCTCTCATAGATTGCTGTTAACTGGAACACCATTACAGGTTACAGATAATTTTATTTGGATGTCTGTTAAATACGGTTTCATTTAACATTTGTTATGGATGCTTGCTGCCATTTCGTTGTTGGTGAGCCAGCTGTATTTCCTGCTGCTTCTTTTTGAGTTATTGTGTTGATTCAGTGTAATACTAATTTTTAACTTATCTTCTTATGTAGAACAATCTCGAGGAGTTGTGGGCACTACTGAATTTCTTATTGCCTAATATATTTAATTCATCAGAAGATTTTTCACAGTGGTTCAATAAACCATTTGAGAGTAATGGAGATAATTCTGCTGATGAAGTACTGAACTTCTACCATCTACCTATTGGAGTGTTTCACTCTATTATCTAAATTATGTGCTTATGCTAATTATTTTGACTAGGCCTTACTATCCGAGGAGGAAAATTTGTTGATCATAAACCGTCTTCATCAAGTTCTTCGACCCTTTGTACTTCGAAGGCTGAAGCATAAGGTTTTGTATTTACATGGATTGTGTTAGGGATCACTTTTTCTTTATTGACTACTGATTGTTCTGCTGTTTTTATTTTGGCTCATCATACGCTAATGCATGACTTAGCACTCATGAGATATTGAGTGGCACAATGTTTTGAAGTCCTTGTTTTGTGTGGTATTAAGATCCTCAGAGAATTCTAGTTTGGTAATTGTATTGCATCTCTTTTGTAGGTTGAAAATGAACTTCCTGAGAAGATCGAAAGACTTGTAAGATGCGAGGCTTCTGCTTATCAAAAACTTTTGACGAAGAGGGTTGAAGAAAATCTTGGTGCAATAGGAAATTCAAAGGTTCTTTTATGATATTGATCCTTATTTATAGACATGTAAAGATGAACTCTAAACATGCCACTATTTTAGATATTTACGGTTGTTTATTCTGATCTTTCTCCTTTCACAGGCTCGATCGGTGCACAACTCTGTTATGGAGCTTCGTAATATATGCAATCACCCATACCTGAGCCAGCTTCACGTGGAGGAGGCATGTCTCCTTTCCCTGTTTACTAATATGCTTAGTTTTCTTCAAACTTCTGGAAGATAAATGATTAGAAAGTATAGGATGGTCTCTTTTCTATAGCGTCCTTTAATCTTTTATCTTTATGTAATAATCGTGGAATAAATCAGTAGTGTTTTATTATTTTCTTGTAGCAAACTAGGGGTATCCTTAGTTGACTGGTACAAATTTTGCCTCGACTGGTACGTACCTAACTTTTGGATCAATTATTGTAGGTTGATAGTTTAATACCACAACATTATTTGCCCCCAATTATTAGGTTTTGTGGCAAGCTTGAGATGTTGGATCGATTACTCCCTAAGTTGAAGGCAACTGATCATCGGGTAGGCAAATCTTCTTATGTGGTTATTTAAGACCTAATAATTTCTAGAAGCTGCGTTTGGATGCGTTGTGGTACCTTAATTGTTTGTTTGCATAACAGATCCTATTGCTGAATTGTATTATTCGTAATCTTGTTCCATTGGTTTATTTTGCATTTCTCTTTTAAGCACTCTTTTTAATTTTGCTGGAATGCATAAGATGCAGTTTTTACAGGATCATCTGTGATTTGCCTTGCAAGAACCTTCACATTCTTCCTTCTTTGGTTAATGCTTGTAAATATTATAATTTTATTTTGTGGATAAATTAATGAGAGGTTCACCCTCTCAATTTCAAATTTGTAGATTATTTTCTTTTCCACGATGACTAGGCTACTTGATGTGATGGAAGACTACTGTAGACACCCATTTTTTTAAAAGATAGAACTAGCAAGAGTTCATCTCCTAGGAGGACCCTTCCACCACCATATCTTTTAAAGCAACAACCACACCAACAAACGTGCAACAACCGAAGTAGGAGTCTAATTGCATTAGGATTCTATTGTTAACAGAATTCTAAAAATAGTTAGTTTTTTTCACTATAAATACATGTAATCCTCTCCATTTGTAACACACGATTTACATACAAAAATACAGAGGAAAGAACGAAAAAATATAAAGGCAAAGTTATTGTAAACGATTCGAAAAAGAAATAAAAGGTAGCATCTTTTTTACCTTGATTCGTTCATTTTTCTCACGTGCGTGTTTTTTTTCTTGAGATTTGGTTCGAATAACCCAAAACATAGGTTGCGCCGATAACCAAAAAGGGGTGGGGTTTCGAAGTTTCGAACCTAGATCTACCCCCGAGGCGTGTTCATGTTTTTAAATATTTAATTCTCTCCCTAAATCAATTTTTTTTGCTTCAAAATTTGCCCATCGATTTGTTTTTTCCTTTTGATTTGGTCCCTTAAATTTACGTTTTAATTATTATTATTTTATTTATTTAACTTTATTTATATGCACATTTCTCTTATTACTCATTTTATATGTTTTATTAATTTATATATATATTTACTATTTTTTTATGTTTTTATTTATTATATATATATATATATATATATATTAGTTTTACTTTTTTTTATTATTTTATTTATTTGTTTTATTTATATATCTTTTTCTTCTTTTTCTTTATTTTTTATATATATTTTTATTTATTTTACTTACTATTTTATCTTTGCTTTCTTTATCTTATATTTTATTTAATTTATTTTTTCTTCATTTTAATTTAATTAATTAATTAATTATTACCTTTTTATCTAACATGGTTTTTTGACCTTCTTAAGGGCACGCCTTTAAAACTAATTAAGATAAGTAATTGAGATCGTATTTTTACCTTTTAATTTTAAATTACAATTTTCTTAATTTAAGACAACTGGAAATTGCGTAGTACCGAAAGGGCAGTTCAAGGGTGCTAACCCTTCCTTGACTGCCACTGACTCCCGAATCCGCCACATCTTTGGAAAGACGTAGATCAGGTAAGAAATAGGGTATCCGATCAACCCATTTGTTTTAAAATAAATGATCGGTGGCGACTCCAATTCATTAATCCAAGTCAAAGTCCAATTTCGGGCCCAACCGAAAGACAGTTACGACAGCTTGGCGACTCCGCTGGGGACATGTAAGGGAGTTAGGCTAAGGTAATTTCCAGTTATATTTTTAACAAAAAGGGTAAGTTTAAATTGTAAGGTAACATTTCGATCCTTATTGCTTACTTTTGATTATATTTTCGAGTAAATAGTTGTACTAACCGTTTTTAATGATTTCAGCCCTTCAAAGCTTGTTTTTCACTTAAGGCACTAAACTCGAGCTCCGAACCCTATTTAAGTGGGGATGAAAGCGACTCCTTCGTGTGAATTTATTCACCGCACATGCCTAGAAAGTAGCCTTCGGGATTCATATATCTTATGTCTTCGTGTGAATTTATTCACCGTATAGACATAAGGGAATGTTTCCTCTCGAGTTTAACTTAGTGCACACAAGCTTGTAATAGGCTTATGACTAAGAGTCTGGCAAGCCCAAGGTGGCATCAGCAAGGAGAACTCAGGTACCTTCTTTAGAACCTGAACCGGGAAACTACAAGGAGTTAGAGCCCACCCCAAAACTTCATTTCAAGCCATAGGTTGTCTTGAGTTATTTCATGCTTTACTTTCTGTTCAAAGCATGCGAACTAGAAATTTATGCGGTTAAGACTTGTTCAAAATCAACATGCGGGATAGAGATCATGTCTGGGTAGGAATAATAAAACATATGGGGTAGATATCATGTGGGGTAGGATTTTTCGTTTTTATTATTGTTTTGATTTACCTCACTAACTCTATTTTTCTTTTTTTCTCTTTTATTTTGTTTTCATCATTTGCATCATTTAAAAGAGGTGTTGATCCACCAAAAAAATGTTTGTTAAAACATGAATAATCTGCATTAATGGAAAAAGGGTTGTAATACAAGAGGTGAAAAACACGGGGGTCCGACTATGGTCAGAAAAGACTCAGAAAGAAAATAAGGAAAATCTGGATGACAACTATGTGTCACATTCGATCAAGAAGACATGGTGCCCACAATCAAATAGATCAAAAGTCAACTTTTCAAAAATGGGTTGACAAAGGTGGCAGGGGCAAGACGAGAAAAAGGTTACTAACCTCGAGAGTCCCTTCAAAGACAACAAGAACAAGATGACAAAACGATAGCTGAATTGGAAGCCATTGTCAACAAATTCAATGAACTTCAGATAATCCCTTTGATGGAGGATTTTAATGATGTTTCCGTTATAGAACAGGTTCATCAAAGGATGAAAGACAGAGATGCAGTCATTCGATACTTCTGGGAACAAGTACAAAAAACAGCTCGTCACTTGTACGATTTAGCTAGAGAAGCCAGAGCGGTTCGGCAGGGTATTCGACCGGTGACAGACGAAGGTAGAAGACTAGTTAACTTGTTTTAGGGTCTAGAGTATTTAGTCTAGATGTACCTTTAAATATGTTTATTGTCTCTTAAAAGATAAAACACTTTTGTCCCAATAAAGATTATTTATAATAACAGACATGTTTTTGGATCAATGCCTCGAACATTTCATGCATTTTTGCATTTTGCATCTACATTTCATTTTTTAAGCATTTTCATAAACATGAAATTTCTTCATGGAGAATTCGATGAAGTGGTTTTAACCACATGACACCACATGGAAACAAGATTGTAACATCAAAAGAAAAAAACTGAAATCATAACGAATGAGCCCGATCAGCTGGTTGTACGACTAAGCCTGCCAGGATGATCTAAGAAAAGAGTCCACGTATCCTAAGGGCTACGATGTTGAAGTTGTTTGCAGTTGCCACATAGGATGCTCCATATATTCCTCTGAGAACTATAAGACGCTGAAGCGCGAGATCCAAAACCTGATGGATTCAGGGGCATGGACAACCGAAGAAGGGGACATTTCATATATCATTTGCACTTAGAGGATTATTTTGTTTGAACACGTCTTTGATCTTTCATGTTTGCTTAATCTTTTAAATGATTGAATTTATGCTACTTTCTAAGGTGGAGCAATTGAACAAATTTTAATCTTTAGTTCTTCGAATATTAAATGAATTAAGGATTCTTTTAATTCTTCAAGAATTATAGATTTTTGACATATGGCAAGATTAGACTTTTCTTATCCTGTCTCAAGCCCCAAAATAAAATAACTTGATTCTTTACCCAAAATAACTCATGGTCATTACCAAAAAGACCAAATTTTGACATTACCTCCCTTTGAAACTTTTGAACATTTCCTTTATCTTTTGATACACCCATACCTTTCTTTGAGTCAAATAAAGTCACACCATTGTCTTTTTAGACTCAAAATTGACATTTTTATGCCATTAAAACCCAAGGCATTGAGTTGTTCATTTGAACATGAGCCTTCTTCTAAGACACAACTTGGGGCATCTCGCAGGGAGCATGAACATTGAGACATGTTGGGGGCAAGAAGCAGAAAGAAGAATTCACTCGGAATAATTCTACCATGTATTAATTGCACTGTTTTCATGTGAATAAAAATAATTCTGAAAATCTATCCCCCTCGGGATACCTCTTCTGTGAGGACTTCCATGTATGAAATGATGAACGACTTTCTTTCTTCATCCCTTCACAACAGCAGAAAATATATATCCCTTGTGTCCCCTTTTGAGCCTATAGTATTTTTCTTCTGATTCAACCCTAACCAAGGATCACCCTCCACACTGGGGGGCAAAGTGGAGAAACTCTGCTCGCATGAGTGAAGACATTGATTCAGATGAGATACTGAAAAGTGAACCAAATGCCAAGTGCAAAGATTTAATCAAAGCAAAAAGAGAAAAAGAGAAAAAAAACAAAGAGAAAATAAAAAGATAAAAAAACAAAGGAAAATTGAAGAAAAAAGAAGACAAGATGCATATGCAAAGATTTTCTCGATTAAAATGACGCATCGAGATTCAAACTATAAGATTGATCAAGCACAATCATTTCCGAATCACTGAACCACTTCACTCGAAGATCATAGATCATCAAATGAGATCGATCAAGCACAATCATTTCTGAATTACTGAATCACTCCACTCGAAGATCATGGAGCATCAAGAGAGAGACACATACGGGCATATTCAAATTGAGAAATATATTATCGAAGACATCAGAATGAATTGATCCTTGGTTCAATCACCCTTAAACACTTGTTTGAGCCTTTTATCCCTGTCTTTCATAACCATGAACCATGACCTACGTTACGTGCCTTAAAAGTCTATTCTAATCATACATGGATTTCTAAACAGAAGAAACTATCTTCAGATTTCATCCCGCCCATCAGGATTAATCTTTATTTGTAAAAAAATAGTGTAATTAATGCATGATAGAGAAAAATAACAAAAGGGGGTTAAAGACGTAAATTAAGAATAACTTCTTGAAACCAAAGGAGGATTCGAGTTGAAAACCTGAAAAGGCGGCTCGAATACAAAAATTGGGCAACTGAGGCGATCGCACGAATTCCTTGATAAGGCATCGCACAATCCGAGCTTGACCATGAAAGTTGGGAATCGGAGAACACATCCAATAGAGGAGCATGCAAGAAACCCCATCAAACCTTTGAGCATCAAATAAACAAAAATGCCAAACCTTTGACCAAACACAATAATCTGAGACATTTTTATCCTTTCCTTACTTAACCATTTCCCAAAAATAGATTTGATATTGGCACGTGTCAAACAACTATAATTTATTGAAGGATTAACAATGTAATTAATTATTTGATATACAATAAACTCAAGTTTTATGATTTGTCTCAATTGTAAAACCGTGAAAGGGGCAATATTTTCAAAACTTTTGGTTAAACA